AGGAGGAAGGAGGTGAAGAAGAAGAAATAGAGGTAGAGAAGAGAAAGTGGGAGGAGAAGGAGAAGTTGCCAAGCATTTGAATTTTGATCATGTGACCACAGGGATGCTGCCGGGGTCATAAATGTGAAAAATTGTCCTGTGTCACTTTTTTTGTTTGAACGGTCAATAAACAAACGGTTGTAAGTCGAGGACGGCCTCTGGAAGGTGATCTTTGTGCCCAGCCAGATGTGGTGGCCACCACCACCTCCACCACTATAAAAAAAAAGCACATTTTCGGCCAGCTCCTAAGAAGGGTGGGGACAAAGGAGCCCACAAGCCTTAAAAGTGGCCAAAGTTGGACGCCCCCCGTATAGGGTCTCCTGTTTCAGCAGCGGGTTGGATTAGAAAACTTCCGAAGTCCCTTCCAACTTTGATATTCCACATCCATTCATACCGCACGCCTGTTGAGAGAACCCCTGGAAATCTGCAATGGCCTCCTCACACGCACACCTGCACACCCGTCCATCTTTGGGGTGATGTTGAGCAGGAGTCGTGGGCCTTTTCCCCAAAAAGCTGGCATACCCAGGCGTCACTACCCCCCCTGTTCTGACCAAGGCTCCCTGAGACAGTAACAATCACACTCTTAGTCCCAAAAACCTTTTGTTTTTATTTCAACGGCTGTGAATTCTACGCCTTCCCAGTCCGTAATGAATCCCAGTTTGTGAATAGCCCAGCGGAAGTTCTGACACCGTCCTTCAGGATAAGTCTGATAAGCACCCACCTTTACCTCCCTTGAAATGCTGCCCACGACTAAAGGGCCCATTAGCTGTACAAGGCCAAACGGAGCACAAAGCCAACTCGGAGCTTCAGAGTTTAAACCGACCAGCACGAACGAAAGTTGCTTCCTGCAAAGGCTCCTGTCCCTTTGCTCCTCCTTTATGTCTTATGGGAGAGGTCAATCACCTCCAAGCCTTAACTGTTTTTGCCTTCTGGCAGCTCTGGGCCCACACACGCTGGGAACCCGGTTTTTCTCTGGGCACCCCCCCAAATGCATTTACCTCCCCCCAACCTATTTTTATTTTCCAAGATTCCTCTGGCTTGGTCTCTTCCAGCTTCCATGATTCACTGGACGCGGCAGATCAAGGACGTGCTGAGGGCCCAAGAGGCGGTGGAGAGCCGTGAAAGCGCGGGCCCCCTGGAAGAGATCGCCTTTTGGAAGAACCGCTGCACCGACCTCTCGGAAATCAGCAAGCAACTGTGCCAGAAGGGGGTGAAGCACATCGAGAGCATCCTGATGCTCTCCAAGTCGTCCTACGTGGCCCCCTTCCAGCGGCTCTCCAAGCAGATCCAGGTTAGTGGCGGGGAGGGCCCGTGGCGGGGGGGGGGGGGGGGGGGGCGGGGTGGGGGGGGGGGGGGGACGGGGGGGGGGGGGGGGGGGGGGGGCGCTTATCCAGCCGGGATGAGTTCTGTAGGACGCTGGCCAAAAGGGCGAGGCTGGAGCAGGCTTAGAACGTAGCGCGGAGTATAGTGCAGTAATAGTGTGAGAAGGGACTTTGGAGGCCTTCTAGTCTGACCCTCCGCTTGAGCAGGAGATGTTAGACCAAGGAAGGGAGCAAGCTGTCCATTCTCTGCTTGAAAACCTAGATAGATGGATGGATGGATGGATGGATGGATGGATAGATAGATAGATAGATAGATAGATAGATAGATAGATAGATAGATAGATAGATAGATAGATATAGATGATAGATAGATGATAGACAGATAGATAGATGATAGACAGACAGATAGATGATAGATAGATGATAGATAGATAGATAGATAGATAGATAGATAGATAGATAGTTATAGATGATAGATAGATGATAGACAGCTAGATGATAGATAGATAGATAGATAGATAGATAGATAGATAGATAGATAGATGATAGATAGATAGATGATAGATAGATGATAGACAAGTAGATGATAGATAGATAGATAGATAGATAGATATAGATGATAGATAAATGATAGACAGATAGATAGATGATTGATAGATATAGATAGATGATAGATAAGTGATAGACAGATAGATAGATAGATAGATATAGATAGATAGATAGATAGATAGATAGATAGATAGATAGATAGATAGATAGATGATTGATAGATATAGATAGATGATAGATAGATAGATAGATAGATGATAGATAGATAGATAGATAGATAGATGATAGATAGATAGATAGATAGATAGATAGATAGATAGATAGATAGGTAGATAGTTTGATTCATATGTCTGGGAGGGTATCTTGGAGGTCATCTAGTCCAACCCACTCTTCAAGCAGGACCCTATAGTATACCATTCTGGACAAATGGCTGCCCAATCTCTTTTGTTGGCGCGGTGGAGCATCCACCACTTCTGGTAGCCAGCCATTCCCCTGGCTAATTGTTCCATGGCTCTTTGCCGGTTTCTTTGCAGGACGGGTCGGAGCAGGCCCAGTCAAACCTCCGCTTCCTCTCCATCCTGAAGGAGCCGTTCCAGGAACTGGCCACTCTGCGGCCCAAAGATATCCCCGAAAAGCTGCCCCACCTCATCAGCCTCGTCCGGATCGTGTGGGTCAACTCCCCGTACTACAACAGCCGAGAGAGGATCACGGCGCTCTTCCGGAAGGTGGGGGATGCCATTATTTCCACCCCGCTCTTTTGTTCTCCTTTAAAAAAAGGCAAAAAACTTTTAAAAGTATTTAGAGATGTATATTTTTTTTTCGTCCACAAAATCGGCAACGTTCTTAGAATGCAAAAATACCAAATCTGAACATGTTGACTGATAGATGGGAGTATTTGTCACTCAGGCTTGAACTGTGGAGGTCCTTGGTGGTCTCTGGGCTGGGTGGTTTTCTGGCAGGGTGGGGTTTGTGGAGGAGGAGGAGGAGGAGGAGGAGGAGGAGGAGGAACTGTGAGGTACTTGGTGGTCTCTGGGCTGGGTGGTTTTCTGGCAGGGTGGGGTTTGTGGAGGAGGAGGAGGAGGAGGAGGAGGAGGAGGAACTGTGAGGTACTTGGTGGTCTCTGGGCTGGGTGGTTTTCTTGCAGACGTTTCATGGCCCGACTATGTTACATCATCAGTGCTAGAAGGGAGCGGACAGGAGGAGGGGGGGGAGGAAGAGGAGGACTGTGGGATTTGGAGGGGTTTGTCCACGGGGGGGGGGGGGGTTGTGGGCCCCCCCCTCTCTCTTCACCTTCCCCCCAGATGAGCAACAAGATCATCCATATGTGTTGCAAAGACATTTCCTTGGACCGCCTTTTCGAGGGCTACATCAACTCGACCCGCCAGACGTTGCACAGCTGCATCTCCTGCATGTCCTCCTGGAAGGACTGCTACCAGCAGGCATCCTACATGCACAACAAGTAAGGGTGGGGGGTGGAGTCTGGGGGGTGGGGTGGAGAAGTTGCACTGTGCCAAAGGGGCTAGTCCTCAGTGATCATGATTGGCCGCCGCTCGGATTTGCGGTGTGTCCCACGGTTGGAGACCTCACCAGCGGATCTCAGAACAAAACAAAATGTCCATTGGGGAAGGTGGATTTACTTAAAACGGCCAGGCGATTCGCTTAACGACCGCCTGAGCTCGTCGGGGACTACACTAAAGACGGGTTGTAACTACTATCTGTTCATGACTGGCTTTACGACCTCAGCAACTCACGATGGGAATTCCTAACCCCGTTCAGTGGTGGGATTCAGCCGGTTCGCAGCGGTTCACAAGAACCGGTTGTTAAATTGTTTTAATCCCACGTAGAGGACGTATTCCTCACAATGCAGAGGCTGCTTTTAAATGCTTTTTTGAAGCGTTTAACATGCTTTGAAATGCTCCCATTTTCACCGCATCAGGAAATATTTTGCGTGAAGCTACATAAATAATTCTCCTTCTTATTTTTCACCCTCTTATGGGTAACATGCAACGATTGCATTTTCCCTGTCAATTTGAGCTACTTTTGGCCTTTCATTTTCATTTTTCATTTCATTTCATTTTAATTTTGGGTGTTAATTTTCAAATCCAAACTCCCCATATTGTAAATAATCTAATATTCACCATAAAAATGTGTTTTTTTCCAGACAATATGCAGAATAGCTAAAATAGAGATTTCTTCGCAACTCTGAGCCCAAGACAGCAGGAGATTAGACTCCCATCTGCCAGAATAGGTGTAGGGTCTCCTGCTTGGGCAGTGGGTTGGACTAGATGACCTACAAGGTCCCTTCCAACTCTGATTATCTGTTATCTGTTATCCCTTATAAACCAGCAGTCCTCGACTTATAACTAGAATTGAGTCCCAAATTTATTTGGCGAAGTGAGACATGTGTTAAGTTAGTTTTTCTCCATCTTACAACCTTTCCAGCCACCGTTGTTAAGTGAACCACCGCAGTTGTTAAATCGGTAACCCAGTTGTTAAGTGAATCTGGCTTCCCCATGGAATTTACTTAGTCGGAAGGTCGCAAAAGGGGATCACGTGACCCCGGGACGCTGTGACCGTCATAAGTACAAGTCAGTTGCTAAGCCTCTGAATTTTGATCAAGTGGCCCGGGGGAATGCTGCGACAGACGTAAGTGTGAAACAGCGGTCTTAAGTCACTATTTTTTTAGTTGTGTCTTTGAACGGTCACTAAATGAACTGTTGTAAGTCGAGGACTACCTGAATTCCTGAGCTTTTTCCCTTGTTTTTCTGACTCCCCCCAATCAAGTTCGTTTAGTGACGATTTGACCTTGCAATGGCACTGGAAAAGTGACTTACGACCATTTTTCATATTTACGACCATTTCAGCATCCCCAGAGTCGCATGATTTACATTTAGATGCTTGACAACTGACTCGTGTTTATGACGGTCGAGATGTCCCAGGATTTCAGGATCCCCTTTAACGACCTTCGGACGAACAACGTCAACGGAGAAGCCCGATTCACTTAACGACCATGTGACTCACTTGCCAATGTTGGCAATTCACTTAACGACTGTGGCCAGCAAGGCCGTAAAATGGGCCAAAGCTCACTTAACGTCTGGGATAACCACAGAAATGTTGAGCTCTGTTGCGGTTGTAAGTCAAGGACTACCCTGTATCGGAAGAAGCGATACTTTCCCAAAAAAAAATTTAGACTTTTTTTTCTAAATTTCCTGGGTTTCTCCCAAAAGTTGCATTTAGAATAGAATATTATATAGACCGAGCTGGAAGGGGACCTTGGAGGTCTTCTATTCCAGCCCCCCCCCCCCCCCAGTTTATGATTTGGCTCAGAATTTTCTACCCGTTTGCATCGATCCACACTTTGGATCACAACTCTGTCCCCCGGCACCCTTGAACGATTACAACACTTCGCTCAGTGACCGTTTCAAGTTACGACGAAAAAAGCAAAGAAAAAAATTGACCATGTTTTCAGGTCACGGGATCAGAATTCAGATGCTTGGCCACCTTCTCGAATTTATGATGGTCGCAGTGGCTCCCTTTTGCGACCTTCTGACCAGCAAAGAAGTCAGATTTGCTTAACGACCACATGGCTATTTAGCGACTGCAGTGATTCGCTTAACATCTGTGGCAAGACAAGTTGTAAAATGGGAGAAAGCTCCCTGAACAAATGTCCCACTTAGCGGCTTAAATTTGGAGGGCTCAGTTGTAGTTGTAACTCGAGGACTACTTGTGTTTGCCTGTCCCGGTGGTGGACAGTGCCACGAGGTTCAGGTAAGCCCCAAATTTCCGTCGCCCCCTAAAACATTTCTTTCACTGACTTTTCCCCCGTGTTATGAACTTGCTTGCCACAGCTGTTCAGTGACTCAGGCAATCGGTAAGTGAGTCCTCTGGTCATAAAGTGAATCCGCCTCCCCCCCATTGCTCGTCAAAAGGGACACACCGACCATCGTAAATACGAACCGGGGGCCAATCGGCTAAATTTGGAACACGTGACCACGGGGATGGCTGTCACCTCATAAAATATTTCTATGGTCTTTTTAGAATTGCCAATAGAAAGGGAGGAGGGGGAGAGCAGTGCGGCAGCTTGGAAACCGAAAGCGCATTCCATCAATAGCCTTTCAGGGATAGTAACTAGGTGACTGAAGTTTCTGCCGTAAAAAGATCTAACTGGAGAGCAGGATTGATGGCTCTGGGCTATGGATGTGTCCCGTTGGGGAATATGAATTACGATACACCCAGGGGGTTGGGGTGGGGGGAAAAACCAGGGTCAAGGGTGGCAGTGAATGATGGGTCTCAGAGTCGGCTGCACCCAGGCAGGGCTGGACATGTTAACTCCCAATAAATTCTTTGGAAATTTGGCTGGAGACTCATGATTTAATTGCGGGGTAATGGCCAGAATCCTGACAGCCTGCCAGGATTGTAAGCAGGGGTGGGATTCTACCAGTTCGGACAGGTTTGGACTGGTTTAGGTAAACCGGAGGTTAAGTTTTCATCTGGTCCTCTGAACCGATATTTAAATTGACCGGCTGGCCCCGCTCCTCCCTGGAGTCTCCATGCAATACAGGTAAATGCAGGGTCCACCGTAGCTGCACCCACCCAGCAACCAGCTCGCTGCCCGGTGGCTGGGATGTTGGAATCCCACCCCGGTCGTAAGTGCGAAAAAAAACCCAGTCCCTTGTTCCAGCTCCGTCGTAACTTGGAACAGACCCTAAACGAACATTTGCAAGTTGAGGTCTACTCCCTGTCCACAAATAGCCTTCCCCGAGCCATGCCGGGCCATCCTGGTTTGATGCTCGCAGCCCCCTTGTGTAGCTTTCTCAGAGCTGGCAAACCATGGCTGGCTGGATCCTAATCAATAAGTTGAATTTTTTTGGGGTGGGTGGGTGGGAGACCCTCCCAATCCTTGGCTTCCCTCAATCTTCTTCCAGCCCTGCCGAGGCTGCTTCCCCAAGCCCCCACCCACCCACCCCCCTCCCCTCCGCCCGCCCAGCTTCTCCGCACTTGAGAAATAATCCATCATTATGATTAGGGATGTCAGATTTAAGTGGCTGCTTGGTCCTCGACAATTAAGTCTTAAGTGTTCCTCCTCTGCTTCAAATTCAAATTAGCGGGGCTGGATCAATAGCCAGCAAGATATAAAAAAAAGGCATTTAAGACCCCCGCGTGGCATGGACTCCCCGGATTAAGCTCTCGAGCCTGGTCCCTTCGGGGCAGGGGGCTTCGGGGCAGGGGGCTTCGGGGCAGGGGGCTTCGGCCTTCCCTGATTAGCTGATTTCTCTGGGAAACTTCTGGCCCTTGGAGTGGGAAGGAGAAGGGGGGGAGGAGATGAAGGAGATCGGCCAAGCGCCCCTTTTTCTAAGGTTCTGGGCTGCTTGCTGCCCACCTACAACCTTCCCCCCCCACCCAGTGAGAATAACAATAACAGAATAGCAGAGTGGGAAGGGACCTCACCCTATACCATTCAAGACAAGTGGCTGTCCAGTCTCGTCTTAAAAATCTCCCACAACTTCTGGTGGCAAGCAGTTCCACTGTTTCATTGTTAATTAACAGCTGACTCTTCCGACAGGCTTTCTGGGAAGGGATGGGTCCTGGACCAGACCAGCATCTTCGCCCAGGTGGATGCCTTTGTCCAACGTTGCAAAGACCTCCTGGAGGTAGGTGTACGTAGGTGTCCGTCTCTAGCGGTCCATGTTAGCTTCTAAGGGTTGACCTCTGCAATCCTGTTCTGACCACGGCTCCCTGAGACTGTAATTAAGCACACCGCTTAGTCCAAATAACTTATTATTTTATTTCAACGGCTGGGAATTACGTTCATTCCCAGCCTGCAATAAGTCCCAAAGAGTCCCTCGAGATAAGCACCCACCTTTCTCTCCTTTGAATTGCTGCCAACAACTAAAGTGCCAAATGAACTGTTAAAAAAAACCAACTGAAGTACAAAGTCCATACAGAGCTTCAAGGTTTAATCCGAAGAGAGTGAACGACATTGCTTCCTGCAAAGGTTTCTGTACCTTTGCCTGTCCTTTATCCCTTATGGGAGGGGCAATCACCTCCCAGCCTTACTCCTGAGTCGCCCCTTTTGTCTCAGCTGCTCTCGCCTTCGAGCAGCTCTTTGCACATGCGCGCTGGGAACAGGCTCCCCTTGTTCCTCTGCCTCGCTGTTGCCAGACTCTGGAGGCTCCGGAGGCTGCACCCCACTCCCAGAGGGTCCTGGCCTCATCTCTGCATCGGACAAAGGACCCTCACCCGATTCCTCCCCAGACTCCCAGACTGGCCCATGTTCCTCCCCACTGTCCGATTCCACTGCCATCTGCACAGGCTGCTGGCGAACCACAATAGATCCGTCTATGCCTCCTGGCATAGTTGATGTCCAGTCTTCTGCAGAGCGAGAGCGGACCGGCTGGATGGAGGGATCTCCAGCCTGGTGAACAGCTCCCTGTTCCTGCCGTCAACTCATAAAACATTTCTATGCCTGTTTGAGAGTCGCCATGAAAAGAAAGGGTGGGGTGGGGGGAGAGAAAGCAATTTGGAAGAGCAGTGCAGCAGTTTGGAATCGAAAGTGCATTCCATCCTTATCTTGCAAAGATTATAACTAAGCTACTGGAATTTCTGCCCTGGGCAAATCTCTTAATTGGAGAATGCGATTGATGACTCTTGGCTACGAACATGTTTTATTGGAGAATATGAATTAGGGTGTGGGGGGAAACGGGGTCATAGGTGACAGCGAATTACGTGTCTCGGCATCAGCTTCACACACGCCATGCCGACACGTTGGCTCCGAATAAATCCCCTGAAGTTTTTGAAGCTCAGCTCGACTTAGGGCAACCGCCGGAATCCTGACACTTGAATCTTTTCCCATCATTTTTCGGTGCCCAGTGCCCAGTGGGAGTAGATCCATGGGGGAGATGGTGATCGCAGCCGCTTCCTTCTCCCGATAGGTCTGCGACAGCCAGCAACACTTCGCCCGCTGGGAAGACGGCAAACAGACCCCGCTGCCCTGTTTCTCCGGTCAACAAGGTCCCCAGATGACCAGGAGCTTGCTGGAGATCGAGGAGACCTTCAGTAAATATCTCAACAACCTCCGGAATGTGAAAGGAGGGATTCTGGATGTGAAGAACACAACCTGGCACGAAGACTTCAGCCGGTGAGAAAAATCTGACAAGAAAAGACGTGTGGGTGTGTGGGTGGGGTGGGGGCATGGGGAGGGAGGGGAGAGCTCCGTGGGACACGTGCCATGGAGGTCCACCAAGAGCTTTAGATGGTTTACAAGAGCCTCTTCTTCTTCCCCCCTTCTCTTCTTCTTCTTTTTTCCTCTTCTGCTTCTCCTTCTCCTCTTCTTCTTCCTCCTCTTCCTCCTTCTTCCACTTCCACTTCTCCTCCTCCTCTTCCTTTTCCTCCTCTTTCTTTTTCTCCCTCCTCCTTCTGCCATCAGCTTCCGCGCAGGAGTCAAAGACTTGGAAGTCATGACCCAGAACTTGATCACTTCGGCCTTCGAGACGGTGAGGGACGTGGAACATGGGGTGGAGATTCAGGACATCTTCGAACATCTGTCCTCCCGAGAGGTACACGTGGGCCCACAGTGGCTGAACCGGGGAGAGATGGGTGGCAGCTGGGGTGGCGGGGAAGGGAAGACAGGGCTTCCAAGAACGGCTGTAACGATGCTATAAAGCGGCATCTGGTGGGCCTGTATTTTATTAGCGAGGAGAAGAAGGGCTTGGACCTGAGGTGGTTGTCGGAAGTTGTAGGAGCTTCATCCCTGGAGACTTTCAAGAAGAGATTGGACTGCCATTTTGTCAGAAATGGTGCAGGGTCTCCTGCTTGGGCGGAGGGTTGGACTAGATGACCTACAAGGTCCCTTCCCACTCTGTTAATCTATGATCTCCTGAAAGATGCTCGGAAGGCTTGAAGCAACTTGACAATGGGTGGAATCCAGTTCCCAGAATTCTGGGAATTGAAGTCCATCTTAAGCATGGAATTCTGGGAGTGGAAGCCCTCCCGTCTAAAGCATGGAATTCTGGGAGTTTTAGTCCATCCATCTTAAGCATGGAAGTCTGGGAGTGGAAGCCCTCCCATCTAAAGCATGGAAGTCTGGGAGTTGAAATCCATCCATCTTAAGCATGGGAGTGGAAGTCCATGCATCTAAAGCATGGAATTCTGGGAGTTGAAGTCCATCCATCTTAAGCATGGAAGTCTGGGAGTGGAAGCCCTCCCATCTAAAGCATGGAATTCTGGGAGTTGAAGTCCATCCATCTTAAGCATGGAAGTCTGGGAGTGGAAGCCCTCCCATCTAAAGCATGGAATTCTGGGAGTTGAAG